AATGGCTTATATAATCTGCCTCGTGGCCAAATTCCGGCCCGGCAACCGTTGCGGCGCGAGGAGTCAACCGAAGGTTGACGACGAGCGCCGGCGTTCAATTAATCCTAAAAAAATACCAGCGTTAGAAAACCTACATTATCTTACTCTAAATAATGAGGTTACGAGTGATATGTCTGGAGATACTAATCTTATTCAGTGAAACCCCGCCTCCAAACGAACCAGAGCCCTCGCAGAAAAACCCAATCGATTGAACGGCAAGTTGAACGGTGCTTTTCAGGTTGAAGCCCTTACCGTAACAAAGTCGAAATCGAACCATATTGAACCTTTGCTCTCAAGATTTCCAACTCCTCATCTGTTTGTGCCCCGCCGTTTATCGGCCTCCTCCAATCATATAAGAATCAGTCCGCCATCATGGCTCTTCTGTGGATCTATGTCTTGGTATGCTGCATTCCATAAACTGCGACGTGGCAAACAAACAGTTCGACAAAAATTTGGAATCAACAAGAATGCATCAATGACTCAAGTGGCTTCACATCGAACTTCAACTCGACTTCAATCAACATTGAGTCGTGGTTGAACTTGGTTGAAGTGACTAATGCACAAAGTTTACCGCACAGGGTCTGATTTCCAATATGTCGCAGTGTAACACGGAGTTTAGAGCGGTCCCCGTTGTTGCTTAAATTTTTTCTGACCCGGACTTGCCGCCCGTTGACGCCAAGTTGACGCCCCCATGTGACACTGTCACACATGTTGACGCCCCACTGCCGCCCTCAAATTTCGGCTGCCACCCCCCGCGCTGAAATGTGACGCCCCCAGTGACGCCCCCTTGACGCTGTCTGACGCCCCCGCTGCCGCCCCTTGACGCCCCTTGACGCCACAATTTGCCGGCATCTGACGCCCCCATCCCGAATACTTCAGCAAATTTAACTAGTATTTCGCAGCAATAACGTCCAATTTTTGGCGCGCAGCTGTAAGAAAGCTACATTACACTAGATGAGACACTTTTACATGCAAATTTCAGCGAAACAAATATGTCATTGCCGCCCCATTGACGCCCCCCTCGGCAAGGGGCGTCAAAGGGCGGCAGTGGCGTCACTTTCCCTTTGCCCCTCTAGCAAGCACAAAATATTGTCTTTCTTCTTAGTCGATATAGTGCGGAGCACCCAAGGGATGCATCTCACTCTGTGTCTGATGCCAACACGAGAACAAAAAAATAAGTATACCGTATCCGAGCACCTTCCTTTTCAACACCGGCACGGCACGCGACGCGCTGTAAAGACAAAGTCCTACTATAACCCGCCGTAAAAGATGTATCCCCGCACGGTTTGCTAAATTTCGGTGAAGGATCTCCGGTCCACGTTTATTGCAAGCAACCGTGTGTTTTGGTTTGTGGAGCGTGTAACGTCAAGAAGTAGTATCGCCCCGGCCCAGGTAATATGTTTTCGGTATTATACTTAGTTAGAGAATATTAGTTCGGCCGCATCCGAACTACATTGACAGACCTAAGGAGAGAGGCTAGAGAGAAAAAGCAGTTGCGGACGGTGTAATCAGACTGCAAATAAGGCCTACCTTGACGCTGTGAACCCGGCTGCTACCACAATTTAAGGTGAATAAACTTTGCCGAGGAGAGAAGTTGAACCACATACCATAATTGGGTAGATGTGTTGAATTGCGGCCGGAGATGGCCATAAGAGGAAGTACCATCGGTGACCCACCGGGATCGACGATCGAGAGAGGACGAGAAAGGTAGTGACCGCCCCGCCAAATGACGCTCGGCACGCGCCCAGCGGAGTTTGAAATCAATGATCGGACCGGGAGGCGACCGGGTCACCGAGGGGCGATCGGTCACCGAACAACGGTATGCAACCCTAGCCCCTACTCGACCCCTTGAGTCCTCAAGTTGAAGCCGCGCAAAGTCACTTACGCCCGCGTCCGCCGGCCGCCGTCTCCGAGTCCCTTCTCGAGCCGGGGTACCCTAGGCACACCAAATCTAAGACCAAAGACCGTCCGGCCTGATTCTTATCCACGACGGAGGCCGTTCTTCAAACGGTGAACGTGAACGTTCCCTAACGTTCCCCTAAATGTCCTATGTCAACATGCAGATCTGCATGAGGAGGATTGATTGTCCTAAGAGCTCCTAAGATCGAGTTATTTGAGCCCTCCCCCTCTCTCAGGCTGTCATGGCGATAATTAACGACGCCCCTCTCGCACATCCCTCAAAAGCCTTGGGCTAGCTGATAGTTCTCCCCTCCATCTAACATGCCGCTCTTGGACATTATCATCGGGTAAGCAGCACCTCTCCTCCGTCTGTCTGGCTGCTTCCATTCTGACCGTTAGGGTTGAGCAGGACAGCTTTGATTGGAACATGGGCTGGGTCAATGTTAACTGGAGTCGCGTTGGCGCAAGCAACGCAGTACTTCAACAACTTCCCGAACGACGGCTGGGTTAGAAAGTGTCTTGTGGCTGGGAGCCTTTTGCTTTGCGTTGGTGCTTTGGGAGGTGAATACGCCGACGTTTATGTGGTGCGTCTCATACTCTTTCTTTCCCATCCTTGCTAATCGAAAGTGCTTTTGGCAGCCGCTTGTCACAATGTGGGGTCAGTCGCCCTGTCTTCTTTTGCGACCGATTCTAACCGGCAGTGGGTCATAGGCAATCCGGCTGCTTTCGGCAAAGTACGTCTCGTTCCATTTCTCGCAAGGTTTGGCCTCATCGTCTCGTCATAGACCTGGAGTGTACGCCCCGTTTCACCCTCAGCCTTGTTAACATGACCATTCAATCCTGGCTTAGGTTACGGTCTACAGCGTCTGCAATGCCTTCACTGCGGCCACGGTCAATTCATACCTCGTGTCGCGATATCACAGAGTGTAAGCTGCTCACATTTTCAACTGCCCCTTCGTGTCTTGAGCAAGCCATTGCAGGTCCAAAAACGTCTTCGTCACCCTCTTTTTGAGCGCACTAGTTCTTTTCCAAGTAAGGGGCGACGACCGATCGCAGCTCTCGAGGTGACTAAATGACTTTGCTCCCAGCTTGTAATTGCCCACTTGGCTGTTCTGCTATTTCCAGGCATCGGACAGGAACAACTCGCGAAGGCCGAAAAATTAGGGCTGATCTGGGCCGTTAGCTCCTTCATGGCTGGTATGGCATACCACTCGGATATCCGTTGCATTGACACCCACACCATACACCAGATATCGCAATCGCGGCCGCGCTGGTCTTTACACTGCGTGGAATGAAGTCCTCGTTTACCGACACAAATCGGTACGCGACTTCCTACGCAAATAGCTGAATCTCACACATTGTTAGACTTCTCCGCCGTGTCATGATCATAGCCATCCAGAATGGTTGTGCAACGAGCCTCATGGCTCTTGGGAGCATGATTGCCGTCATAATCAAGGTCAACAGCAACAGTACGTTCCCGGCCAATTCTACACCACACTCCGCTCAAGTCTTGGTCGTTTCTTCTTCTAGTTACCTCGGCCTTCTATTTCACCCTCGCCCCTCTCTATGTCTTGACCTTGCTCTCCAACTTCAATCTCCGCGAAAACGGAAAGTCGGGGAGCAGATCAGGGTGGTCGTCGAGCCGGAACAACAACACCCAGATTGGTCCCCGCTCGGACATCGTCATCGAGGGCATACGTGAGTCGCACACAGTTTCTGCCACTTCTCTGCAGGCCGACACCTGACGGCTTGGGCCGCACAGACGTGCGCCGCGACGGCGGCCTCAACGACCCCACAGAATCGGAACTCGAAATCATCCCTCCCTCCAAGGTGAGCACATAGCACTCACCGTAGTCATTTTTCTCACCCCTTCCGGAATACTGTTGCAGCAGGATCACGCGAGAGGACACCGGAAACACGATTCAAATGCGGGTTACGGCGGAAAGAACGGTGGGGAGCAGGTTGGGGTTTCCCACCTGTATCTCAATTGAGATAACATTCGCTTCTGTATTGTTGACTTCACGCTGGGTGTATGGATAGTGTACATAATTTGATGACCGTCATTGCAGGCTGCCAAACTTGCACAAGATTTTTGTAGAAGATGTTCGGACTATTCGCACGGTTGGCCCCAGTCTCATCCTTAGCCTTTTCTGATGCCTGCATATGGCGGAGTCAATGTCGGAAAAATCATCTGAGTTATGCATCTTGCTCGAGCCACCGGTTCGTGTTTCACACGGGCTCCACAGCATGTAAAACCCCAGTAAAAAATCGTTTGCGAGCCCTCAAAATGCAACGGACAAGTTACGAAAAAAATGCTGATGGAAAACTAAGACTCTAATAGTCCTTCCATAGGTAAATATACTGGCTGGAAAAAACAGGCCTGTTGCAAGTTGTCCCAAGCCGTTGCAAGACTCGGCATGGCTTGGGACTCCTTATGAGTCATCCCCATGCCTTGTGTCGGCGTGCGAGCACTTGCAAGGTGTGGCTGGATGGCTTGCAACCACTTGCGACTCCTCTCAAGGTCTCAAGCCGACTCAGACGTAGCAAGTCAGCTGGTTTTTTTTCCGACAAACCCGGTCCTGGTTACCCGCTATTCTACACCTTACTCACGATCATCGTTGCATTCAGGCTGGACCATCGACCGTCGCAGAGGGTTTTAAATCTTTGCCAACCCCGACAAGCAATGTTTACATGTAAGGAGGCTCGGTCTCAAAGGATTCTTTCCCTGTGTTCAACGTGAACTCCAACTTTATCGACTGATCTCACTTGCGTATATAATTCGGCGGCCCGTGCACAAGACTCTTGGCTCGTTCCCATTCCCCGATGCGATGCATTGAGTCCAAGACGCCAAGACGCCAAGATGGGCCTTGGATCCCTTTATAAGCTAGACCCATCTTACACTTGAGCGTTCCAAAATCGAATGGTAACATATATCTCCAATGTCGACGCCCCAGCGCCACAGTCCCTCTGCATCGATGCCGAAGATGCAGATGACCCCCTCGGTCCTAGCACTACTTCTGCCATCCTGAGACACAACCACTCTCGCGCCGCTGTAAAGAAAAGACCCTGTAGCACCCGGTGTGCATCTGCTCTTTGAACCTTTCGAAGCAACTTATAGCGGAAGGACCTGGTTCGATTCCAGGCGGGGATCATCGTCGGGATCATCCAGTTCGGTATTTTTGCCTCTCGTCCCATTCCAATTGCTGCGTGCGCACGAAGAGAAGGATGAAAGCAAAGAAACAAAACCCGGTAGCACGCGGTGTGCATCTGCTTTCTATCATCACGGTTTCTTCAGCTAAATCATATAGTAGCAGAAGGACCTGGTTCGATTCCGGGCCATGTGGATGGGAGTGCCAATTAAGTAACTTTTTTTGTTTTTGTTTTTGACGATTTCTCAGCTTCACCGTAGACCGGTGACCGTCTGTCTATGAAACCTGTCGGTAGACACGACACAACTAAATTTCGATAGCAGGCTGGATTGGAGCCTAATGTCAAATTAACACAACAATCTAGTCAAATAACAAGCGTGGGCAGACCCGCGTGAACCACTGCACATCGAGCGTCATATTCTACCAATGGTTAAATCTTGCAGTGGATGGGTATGCATTGTCGTGTTTTTTTTTTTTTTGGTTTCATCGGTTCAAACTTCAATGTTATACAAGACTGTGGTAGATACTAACGCATCCCAATTTTAACTTCCAATATCGATCAGAAGAGAGCTGAGCAGTTATCAGATTCATTCGGCTGGTGGAAACAACTTAATCACACATTGCTTCACGCCCTGCTGCCAACACACTGACAAAAGAATGGTGTGGCGGCGACGACAGGGCGGTACAAAGGTGCCCGCGACTATGAGCCTGAATTCGCTGCGTTAGATGTCTGGCTTTGAAACGGGCGGTCTTACACACACCTAAGCGTAGGGCCTGACGCATTCGACCCAAGCCCCGGCGGGTCGAGCGACAGGAGGGAGAAGCACCACAGCGACGGGCGGCTTCTCAGAAAACTCCAAGGAGTGCCAGTATTGGTTCTTCAACGTGTCGACGCCCATGGTGTGTAACGACTGGTCCTCGGAACCGGCGCTGTACGCGGGTGGAGGCGGCGCGATAGCTGCCTTGGTACTCACGGTGCTTTTTTCTGGCTGGCGGGCGAGTGAGTTTCCCGAAAATCTTGGGACGAAATGGAATCTACCTTCGATGGGTTTTTGCTGCGCTGCATTTTCCTCGAAAGTTCGTAGAAGAAGATGACAATTATGATCCCAATGAAAATGAAGCCAACGGGACCCGCCCAGATCGGGAAATCCGGTGAGTCGGCGTTGTCGCCAGATGAGCTCGTCGACGAGGGCAGCGCAGGAACGGCGCTGACCGTATCGCTCGGGCCTGCGGTTGCACCAACAGCGCGGGCAAGGAGGATAGGCGACATCCTAGTGAAAAAGAGTGGCGATTTGAACTCAAATCGGTGAAGTACGTCGGCTTAGAGCACAGAATTTATACAGCAAAAGATAGGGAAACTGAACCATTTTACTTCCGCCGTTCTGTCTCGGAGCGGAAGTGCATGTACATATGCGGGAGGAATGCGGGACGAGGTACGGGAGTGTCCCTGACCAAGGTCGGTGGATAGGAGGGACGTAAATGTGGGAGTGAGAAGAACGAAAATCTTGGCTCATTGATTTTCTTTGGCACCTTTGATGTTGATGGCCGTCTGTCAAGATGCGGCTCCAGATCTTATCTTATCTCCGTGGTTGAAATGGGTGGGATGGAAAATGCAGCCTGCCTGTTTGTACTCTATAGTAATGTGTAAGGTAAGGAATTCAAACGCTGCTAATTTAGCCAGTCTTCTCGTCCGCCTCCAACTTGGACTCCATCCTACGGTTCTTCGACGCCTTTTCCGAGCGAAGACGTATACGATACCCATAGACATAAAACACGAACGGGATGGGCATAATGGCCACAGCAACCAGCGCAAGCAGTAGGCCCGCCCACTGAAAACCCATGTTGTGGAACATCTGGTTGACGTACAGTGGCACAACTGCACCTATGAGTGAACGCATCAAGGTTTTGGCGGCGATTGCGGAGGCAGCGTAGTCGCTATAGGAATCAATAATGTAGGAGTTTGCGGAAATGTAGAGCAGAATCAGGGAGAAACCGAAACAGCCACCGGCAATGCAAGGACCTGGAGGCTCAGATCAGTAAAGGAAGTTAACTGCGCAGAGAAGAATTATACCCATAAAATTGACCCATGCATATCCGCCCGTGAAGGCGAAGATAAAGAGCGCAGCCGGGAGTGTCCTGGTCCGATGGTTGTTCATTAATCAGAGCTTCACGGTAGGCATAAACGACTAACACAGAACCAAGCATCATGGGGAACAGTCGGGCTTCAGGAAAATTTCCATAGACAGTGGCCTTGGCATAAAGCTTCTCTTGGTATGGCATGCATGCCAGAGCGATAAGAATTCCAAGCTGTGTAAATAAGCTCTGTGATCCGTACAAGTGGAAGGGGGACATACGATGATGCTAATGAAGGTTACGCCGGTCATTCCAGCACTGAACCCGCGAACTTCCGCAAAGGCGATGGGGAAGGCGAAAAATAGCAAGTCTATTTTGAGCAAACGCAGGGTCAACAAACGGCAGTCGAAAATTCATTGGCTTACACAATAGACTGTATACGAACGATAAATCTGCGATTTTGTTAAACGGGAGCACATCAGATTCAGAGTTTGACTTGACTCACAAAACGACATGAATAGCACGAGCGGTTCTGTGAAAAGTATGACAAGAGGGCGCAACAAGGCGATTCGGAGTGTTTCGGCGAACGGAGTGTGATCCAGCTCAGCTAGCGACCGGTATTTCTCGTCCCCGGTGCTTTTCCGCAATGCGGCAGCTTTGCGTTGAAGGAGAAGCGGGGCCAGTGTCTCCGGGATGAACAGTGTGAGGATAAAACAGAACCCAATAAATATGAAGAGGACCCAGTCTGAGCAGATACTGTATCAGCATGATGCACAACTCGTTATTGGGCGCCACTTACAAATCCAGCGCCAGCCAGCGTACTGTCCAATCCAGCCACCAAACAAAGGCCCTGAAGGAAAATGAGCATCCTCGACAGCGATCGATAGAATTCAACCAACCTAGACACGGGCCCATGCTGGACGAATCAATAAAGAACCCTTGTAATACACGATAACAAAACGTACAATATTGTGCCGGAGAACAGGGCCATGGGGAGACCTCGTTCCTCGATGCTCCATACATCTGCGACACTGAGAAATTCGGTGTCAGATGAGATCTCGACTGGCCAGAGAAAAAGTTCCAACCTTCCCCCAACGTTGCACATGGGGGCTGACGCAGCGAGCCCTGCTATCTGCCGTGCTACCACCAGCGTGGCAGCATTCTTAGCAAGGGCGCTTGGCAGTGTGAATATGAAGTAGAAAAACATGCTGATGGCGTAGATCGGTTTTCGTCCAAGTACTTCCGATAGCGGGGCAAATACGAGTGGCCTGGCGAGCAATGATTAAATAAATAATGAAGAGCATCCTCGTCAGACAATTATACTCACCCGATGCCAAAGCCAATGACGAAGCACGTCACGGTAAGATTGACTATCTCTTGGGTTGTGTTCAGGTCTTTCACAGGTCCCTGCATGCTGCATACACGTATGAGATATGGATCTCATAGTCGGTTGGAGGCACTCACTCTCCAGTAATCATGGAACTCCCCAGAGCAACCGCCATGCACACTGAAACCGATTGAGGCTCGAAATCGGATTCAAATCTAAGAGGGTCGACTCACGGAAACCTGTGGTCGAAGTAATGTACCTAGACAAAGCATTTAGCAGCAGGAAGCCACGAGCAATTAATTCAAACCATTTTCGACCACGTCCCCATTCACGCGGATCCTCCCCCGCCCCCTGCTCGAAGGTGACTGTATGTGTGCCAGTGCCCGCTCCTTCCAGATCGTGTGGGGTAATAGATCCGGTCTTCGTCGCCGTGTGGCTCAAGGGAAGAGGCCCCTCCAATTCGAACTGACGAAGCTCTTCTTCTTGCCGCGCAGACAAAGCCGGCGGATGTACGAACTCAGCTTCCAGAGGTTCTGAGGGCATTGCGGGGCGAAATAAAGGGATAGATAATTGCGCATGGGCTTGGCCTTATATACGCGCCATCAGGGGACGGTGTATACGCTGTCAAAATCACAAATCATTCAGATAGCAAGGGTCCGCTTCAACTTGACGCCTCAGTTCGTCCCAGTTGACGCGGAGTCGGCATCGGGCATCCACCAAGAAAACAAGTTGCGAAGAGGAGTAGAGGCACGAAGGCGCCGCACAAGTACCAGCCCGATTTGCAAGTTGCCTATTTTCGAAGTTCCTGGCACACACAGACCTTTTGAACCATGGTCTAGATGGAAGTGAGAAGAGAAGAACAATCGGCATCTCGGCGATCAACTTAGAGGAACAAGGTCACGAGCAGCCCGTTTTCTTCGGGTCGTGCGCCGCCGCGGCGTGGGCCGCGTTCATCGGGTCGAGATTGCACTGGCTACTGCCAAGAGCACCCAAAAAGACAATGTTTACAACAAAACGCAGTAAAGTTACAATGTTGAACCGGTTTGAACGTAAGCAGAATTCCGAACCTCGGACTGAAGTTGAGCCAGTGGCTCGATATTCACTCGTCGCAACCCAAAACGATTGCGAGGTGCTCGAACGAGTCGACGACAATGTCAAAATCTCCTCCTTCCGCCTTGGTCGACACTTCTGCCTCGACATTTCGGTCTTCAGAAGGTCTGCGAACATATATCGTCTTCATGCCAGCATCTCCTGCGACTCGCAATTCATCGAAATGGGAGGAGACGACTGCGCATTTCGAGGCCACGAGACTCATGCTTCGCGCCGCTTCGAGGTAAGCTTCGGGATTCCTTGATGATCGTCAGCGTGAAGCCGCAAAAGAAAATTGCCAGTCGTACGGTTTATATGACCCTAGGAGAGAGCCGGACAGACAGACGTCCCAGGATAAGCCGGCGTGCCTACTCTACAAACAGTTATTTTCGCCGTAGCACTGATAGACCGAATAAACAATACCATCTGAGTTTGCGTTCGTAACGACATATTTGAGAGCGTTGCAATCGTTTTCGTTTTCTGAATCGCTTGCAGCCCATCCTTGGTATCGGGC